GCACCCTGCCTGCAGCACCCTGCCTGCTGCCTGCAGCCTGCACCCAGCCCTGCACCCTGCCTGCACCCAGCCTGCAGCAGCCTGCCTACAGCTGTGCACGGGTGGTGAAACCTGGCGTCTGAGCTACGAATCCTTCAGCCTGTTGGCTGATCTGAGTCTTTTTTTCACAGAGAGAGAGGGATTTCAAAAATAACAGCATTTCTACAAATTTAATAAAATTAGATCTTGAGGGAACAGAAGAGCTAGCTTTGGAAGTTTGCCTTTACTGACCTTGAAGGTGTGAGCTGGTTTTTAGAGTCATTTAGTGGCAAACTGCCTGTCACTGCCCAGGGACTTGGCTGGAGTGAAGAAGGACAATTTTATAGGTGCCTGCAGAGATGGTCAAAGATTAAGTCAGTAGTTCAGTCAGCAAGCCAGCCAGCAAGCGCACACTTCCCATGCTTGCAGAATTCCCTGGTTTGCACTTGCGTTTTTGTTGTTGCTTACTAACGCTTACAGACAGAGTGACAGCGAGCCCGTCCTGCCTCGTGAAGGTTCGCACTCAAAGCCCATCACTGGAGAAGCCAGAGCCGTCTTTGCTTCAAGATGCGTGATGTGGGAAGGAAAAGCAGAGAGTTGCAGGGCTCAGCAAGGAATGCACAAGGAATTAAAGCTTCAGTGGAGCCTTTGCAGGGCTGTAACGGGAGCAGGGGAAAGGCAGCAGCTGGAGCTTTGCGTTCCCAGTGACCGTGCTGGGAGGAAACCCACGGAGAGGATAGGTTAAAAACCATTTCCCGTCCTATTCATTTCAACCCTCTGCCACTTTCCAACACCCTTTGCGCTTGGCTGGTGGCACCAGCTCAAACCTAAATCACCAGCAAATGCTCACCAGAGGAGAGCCCAAAGGCTGGGAAAGCCCCATGGGCTGCCCACAGGCCCCACTGAGAGCAGTGGGAAACCCCAGGGACCGGAGTGGCGTTGGCAGGAAGGGCAGAACCCCCCCAACGCACCTGTGGTGCTGTGCTCCCCCATCGGCTCTCCCAGCAGCGCTGCTTCGGCTCTGAGGGGTGTAAACAGGAGGAAGCAGAGCTGATGAACTAGCCACCAGCTGGGCCAGCTCCGGGACAGGTCCCGAGCCAGCCTGTCCCAGCAGCAGGACAAAAGCCGGGCAGCAAGAGCAGCTGAAGCACCCCAGCCCTCCTCTTGCTGCGTGGTTTGTTCCCAGCCAGCGCTCATGTCCTCACCTGCATGGAGCAGCTAAAGCGCTTTCTGCTCCTCTTTCCTGCCTAAAACCTGAGGGTTGCTTGAATGTGGAAGAAGAGGCAGGCTCTCCTGGCTGCCCTTTGCCAGCAGCGGTGCCAGGCCATGGCTGGATTAGTTGCTTGCCCAGGTTCTGATCCAGCATTTCCCCCAGCATAACAGGGATGTCTCAGCAAGGGGCTGTGCTGGGCACAGAAGCCACGCTGATTCTTGGGCTCTGGAATGGGGGCTTGGGGCTGCGTCCCCCAGCGTAACCTGCCCAAGGACAGGCATTACAAAACCTCCGCTCCATCCCAGCCAGGCTGGTGTCTCAGTGAGAAGCGCAAGAACCCTCCCCAGGGCAGGGGCAGGGTCATTGCCGCTGCCTTTACCTCCTCCTGATCTGACACACAAGTGTTGCATTTCAAACATCGCTCCAGGCTGGTGGCTATTTTTGACAAACACCTTCAGATTCATGTCTTCAAAGGCCACAAGAGGAACAAAAGGCAGTTTCTACATTTTATTATTACAGCTTAACACAGTCTTTGATACAGGAGAAGCAGCAGGAACCAACATGCAAAGCAATTAAAGTCATCGGGGGCTTGAGAAAGATCGTTAACAGCTCAACTCGTGTACGGAACTGCTCTTGCACAGCAGCGAGGCAGATGCCTCTCTAGGAGCCTGATTCCCTACGTGCTGCCGCTCAATCGTGTCCCGCAGTGCGAGGATTTCATCGCAGATACCAAACCAACACATGACAGTCAGGAGGAGGGGATGGGGCTTTGATTCTGTCTTTTGAGGAGTGAAGTCCATTACATGACTGGAGCCTAGCACGCTTTGGAACCGGGAAGCCACCTGCACTCTTGTTGCTGCGGATGGTCTGCAGAGAGGAGGGATCCCGCAGGAAGAGGCGACGGCTTTGACAGCAGGTCAGGAGGTGACGCTCAGCTGTTTGGCTGCAGTTTACCTGTTTCACAGAGCTGGGACCTCTTGGAGTCTTTTCAATGCATGTGATGGGTGTTTAGGCTAAAGATTTCCAACAGCATTAAGAGAAATCTTTGCAAACGAGTAGAAATGGAAGTCCCCATGAAGAATAAGGTGCACCAGGCCTGGCCAGCCCTGAAACAAAGCCCCACCTGCCTCCATCCCAGCAGTTCGCCTGCAGAGACATTACGTCCTCCGGCACCTCTTCCTTTGGCAGGCCTCTGCATCCGAGCTGCAGGAGCTGTCTGAGTCGCTTCCCGATGAGGAGGAAGGCTTCGATGTGCTATAGTTCATGCTCAAGACCCACCCCAGTTTGTTGTGAAGCACCTGCTTGAGTCCTGGCGGCAGCGGCAGCACCTCCAGCGTGTCCACGTAGTCGGGCAGGAGCTGGCGCAGGCGGAAGCAGCAGAGGTACTGCAGGGACGTGCAGCTAGCGCAGGAGCGGATCACCTTCATGCTGCTCTTGGCTGCCGTCGAGCACACCATGGGGTAAAACTTCTTGTTCTGCAGCTTGGTGGCTGCAACTCCTGCCAGGGGACACATCAAGGGGGTTTCATGTTAGTTTTGACAAGGGGGTCTCACTCCTCCCAGCTACCCCGAACCTATTCGCTACAGCGCTGTTGGAAAACACACGGAAAAAAGCATTTTGAAATCCCAATCTATTAAACAACGAATGTGACCTTCCTCCCACTTGCTTAACACCTTGGTCTTCTTTGCTTTGGGCAACCTGGGCTAATGGGAGGTGCCCCTGCCCCATGGCAGGGGGTGGAACTGGATGATCTTTAAGGTCGCTTCCAAACCAAACCATTCTGTGATTCTAGGATTCTACTGTGCCAGTGTTTTCTCCTGCAGCCTGGCTCCGACTCCAGCCAAAGCTGCGCTGTGCCCTGCTCCCCGTCCCTCCGCCTGCTCTTACCGATGCACTTGCGGTTTTTGAAGAAGGTGAGCGTCCCGTGCCATGTGTCCAAATGCACCCCGATGATGGAGCCTTGGCCAAACCTCGACGAGAAGTTCATTTTATCTCCCTTGTGATGCAGTAATCCTTAAAACACACACACAAGAAAAGCATTCAGTGGAACACCTGTGCTCCATGAATTCATCCCAGCACCTGCACTGCAAGTTCCCACTGGTACAGCCTCGCTCGGTGCCTAAAAAACCCCTCCACTGGCAGATGTGCACCCTCTCACCCCAGAGTGGGTGACAGAAAGGGAAAAGCTGAGGTTTTGCAATACCAGAGCGCAGGCAGCGGCTCTGAAACCCCCCATCAGTGACATGCAACCAGTAGTCCAGGCGCCCTGGAGGTTCCCACACCAGTTCTAAGGGGTCTGCGAAACGCAGGCAAGGAAAGATGCTCCGAGAGCCGCTGAGCTGCTCCGTTAATGAAGGGACTTCCAGGCCTGGTGCTTTTTTGTCCTCAATCCCGTTCAGACATTTTATTTCTCATCCCCTTAGGACAACACTTATGCCCCCTGCTGCCCTTCCAGCCATCCTGCCCTTTGCCACCGCTCCCCAGGCATTACCTGTGTAGGAAAGTCCCCAGCTGTCCTCATCCTTGCCCAGCAGGCTGCAGAAGGTGTGGCGGTACTTGTCCAGGTTCACATCTGACGTCCCAATTCCCACCATCTGGGAGGCAAGGCCAGGAAGAACAACACAAGCTTAGCATCTTTGCAAGCAACAAAAACCAAACAAAACTCCACCTTAGGCTCTTCTCCTTCTTTTCTTGGCACAGTCCAAAACACCCAGAGGTTTTGGTGATGCCAAGTCAGAGGTTTCAGGATGGAGTTGAAGGCTCCCAGCTCCAACATCCTAAGTGAGGAGGCCCAGCTGAACTGCTGGAGAAGCCTGCTGTCCTGTTCACAGAAGGCTTTGGGTTGGAAGGGACCTTAA